ATCACCCAAAGGTCAGACTGAGAGAAAATGCCTGCGGCATTAAGTCCACCTTATGTACATTTTGTGCATGAAGCGTTAATAAATAAATAAATTTGTAAGGCTCCATAAAGAGACATCTTTTTCATTTTCTTCTAGCAATGATCCTTGTTAGTAGACGTAAAGTCACCAAAATCGATTCAGTTATTTAGAAGATAAAGCAGAATAAACAAACAAATTCACTTTCACATTACAAAAATACATTTATAATTTTACACTTAGTTATCTAGAGGTATGCACGACCGTCAGTCGGTGTCGTATACATACGCGTTGTGAAGTAGCATAACAAACACAGCATTGTGAGTTCAATGGCCTACATATGGCGTTCCATGGTTATCTGTGAAATATTTTTAATCTGTGTAATTGAGCTAGCGTATGAGCGTATTAGTCCAAGACTGTATGAGCGTTTTAAGTGTGGGAGAGCCATGCTTCGGCACGAATGGGCCGGCTCGACCGGAGTGATACCACGGCCTCACAGAAAACCGTCGTGAAGCAACGCAAGCGTTGCTTCACGTCGTGTGAGTGAGGTTACTGGAGGCCCAATTACCCTCTCCTTCCCCAATCTCCCCAATCCCTGAATCCCCAACGATCCTCAAACTCCTAATCCCCAAAAAGCCGGCAACGCACTTGTGACGCCTCTGGCGTTCCAGGTGCCCATGGGCGACGCTGATTGCTTACCATCAGGTGATCCGTCTGCTCGTTTACCGGCTTATGCCATAAAACCTTCAAGAAAAGAGCGTACTTGTTTTTAGAAGGCTGGCAACGCACCTGTGCCTCCTCTGGGGTTCATTGGCGGTGCTGATCGGTTACCATCAGGTAATCCGTGACTCATTTGCCTCCTATTCCATAAAAAACCAATGATTTTTTAATGAGATTTGTTATTAAATACCGTTGTACAAATATAATGCCAACGCAGTTCAATTAACTTAAATACACAATGAAATATATTTAAATAACAAAGGTTATATTATTAGGTATCAGAATGTTTTACAAAATTTATGGGTAAACATAATTGTTACATGACAAGAGAGAGGTAAGAACGGTTTAAAAATATTATGCTTCATCAAATTGTATCAGGAAAATACGTCAAAATAATGTTTCCCAACAATAGGGTAGTTTCCTAAATTTTATTTTAATGTCCGTCTGGTACATTAATTTAAAACAAAATTAAATACTTTCGACATATAATTAATTTGAAATATCGTGTGACGTCACAGCGTGCCACATTTTGTAGGACGTAATGACGTAACGACTTCCCACTCTTAAACTTTGCGCCATTTTATCTATGTCTGTGTGTCTAATATTTTTTCATTATCTAACTGACGGACTAATTAAATTTTTAATTTTGATACCCTGGAAACTACCCAATCTTATATCTTATACTATTATATAAAGCGGAAGAGTTTGTTTTTTTGTTTGTTTGTTTGAACGCACTAATCTGCGTAACTACAAGTCTGATTTGAATAATTATTTTTGTGTTAGATAGCGCATTTATCGAGAATGGCTATAGGCTATAAAACATCACGCTACGACTAATAGGAGCTGAGCAGAGCGTATGAAACCGCACGGAAGTAGCTAGTTTTAATATAATTTTGATTGGTTAGAACTTTGGTCGAAGTTTAGAAACTGTGATACAGTTTGTAAATGGAACGCTCCCAAAACGTTGAAAAAATGAAATTGGTTTTTACAATTTGAAACGTTTTTGCTTTCATGTCATTCATGCAACGTCGGCCTTGAGCAGATGATTACAACTATTATTAGATAAAAGAAACATTTAATTCTTTAATTTTGTAAAAATAAAACATGTTATTTACAACCACCATCATTAAGTCGGCGTTTTTCGGCATCGTTTCGTTTACACCCTGTATATTCTTCTCTCATATACGTACAGTATTGGAATATGGATCAGAGACATTGTAGAACATACTTTTTTAAAACGAGTAACGAATGTATTTTCTTACTATTTCTTTTCCATTCGAATCTACATCTTGGAATGAGCACCTAGCTTCATCTAGGGTCACTGACGGACTGACTGAGAGACTATTATTTATATTGTATTTTTTATCGTTTCAAAAGTACCAAATTATGGTTTAATTGAAATAAATGCTCTAAGTTTGACTTTAATTATTATTTTCGGGAAATCATTCACAATTTTTGTCCAATTAATGATTAGCCCAACGCAGGTTCTAAATTCAAACATTTCAATTGGCTTAAAACTGCCGAATTTTAGTTTTAACAATGCATTCTGCCTGTTCGTTCAAATAACAAAAGATGTTTCTGTTAATAAATTACTTTCAAAGTTATTTGTAATCGTCCTTGGGCGTGAATGTTCTTACTTTATGTTCTTTGTCCAGTCAATGTATACTTAGACTTGCATCTGTATATGATAACAACAATATTACTCATTTTGTTTTATGTGGTAAATGTGCAGTGAATTTGTCTTATTTTTAATTTTCATTGTGTATTTTATTTTAACTGATGTTTTGAAATACACCAACAACGGACATAAATTGTAGACTATGCGTATCAATAGTGAATTAAAAGTAAAATGGATAGATAAAGATAGATAATAATATAAAAGAGAAGATAGTATGAGATAGGATGATGATCAAAATGATATTTTATTTTAATTTTTGATGGGCCGACGTTTAACCACTATCTCGCCTGGTGGTAAGCGATGATACGGTCTACGATGGAGCACGTCGTCCCGTAAGCAACCTATTCACTCGGGCCTTGAAGACACCCAAGTTATATCTTCAGGAAATACAGACTCTGGCAAAGAAGAATAATTGAAATGCTATAAACGAAGACTGTAAAATTAAACCTACAAACACGTTCGGATACGACAATCAATTTATAGAAACAACTGGTCATACCCATCTGGTAAATGAACAGTGTAGTGCATGCAAAAATGTAGTTTATATACTGCAGTTTACGACTTGAATTAATGTAGCTATAGATAGACCTACATTTATCACGAAAAATGATGACGATTCAACATAACATCACGCCTGTTATCCCCGAAGGTAGGCAGAGGTGCACATTATACCACTGTACAACGTAACACCCACTTTTCACTATTTATGTTATGAGTCCCATGTAAAAGGGGGGTGACCCTGCCATATACCGGGAACAATTCCAGACTCCGTGCTACTACTGAGATTTTTTTTAAAACCCAGTTTTACTTTGTTGAATTGAACCCGAGACCCCTATCGTACTTGCGACCAGCCGAGGCAGTCATGATGACGACGATTCAATCACGATGATTTTAGGTTTTGATGAACAATGATGATGATTGTATTATAATTACTTTGATTTGCTTGAAGACGAATGTCGATTCAAAATAGTTTGATCTCTTGATTGTCGAATGTCGAATTTCCCGATATTTCATTTTATTTTTTCCTTTCGTTTTCCTTCCCATAAATACTCGTAGGACGTTCGGGATTATTTCCTTACCTTGTTGGTGCTTACTCCACAATAACTATTATCTTAGGATCTTGCTTAAAAGTATCTGGATCTAGGCTAAATATTTTAGCAATAGTAACTCCATACATACATGTGATGTTAAAAATCGATCTGCAATTTGCAATTTTGCATTAACATACCTTCGACTCTTAAGGCCAATTTTTTTACAACTATCAATTTTTTTACAAATTTTATCAAAGGAATAACTTTACAAAAAACTTTAAAATGTTAATTTTATTCCACAGTTAGAATTCTAACTGTTGATTAAAAATCGGCCCTAAGTGGACTATTTCCTAAGGTTCAGGTTCTTACGACCAGTTATTTCGACAAAAGTATGCACTTTAGATAATGTTTTATGTCATTACTGATTTATCTTCAGATATTATCAAAAAATTACACTATATCAGTTTCATTAAAATTACATTAACTAGGCACATCATGGCTTACAAATTGCAATTACTTTCGTCAGAATACTGAAAGGCCACTCAGTTTTAAGTTGTACTTAAATATCATGCTATCTCTGTAATTTTTTTGCAGCGGAGAACTTAACGGGTTACCGGGGCTCCGGCTCGAAGGGCAGGAGTAGGAACGGCGTGGTTTTTAGTCAGTAAGAGTCTGACACTCCCTCCCGCCTCACCCAGGCGGGAGCAGTAATTCGATGATTTTCCCCCCTTAAAAAAAAGAACTATACTTAGGTGCGACTTAAAATTGAGTAGAAGCGTCAGAAACGTATATTGACAACTTAAAATTCAGTGGTTTCATAATGTTTATTACCTTTTTTTGAATACTAAAATTTATTAAAGAACTGACATTAAATCTTACGAACCTACTCTTTTTCAAAACGTTCACACTTCTGATGTTATTTTTAGTTAATTTGAGTGTCTTGCTCGTTTTTCTCTATCGGAATCTAAATTTTGAACGAGCCAATAGCTTCACCAGAGGACTGACCAACAGACTGATATTTTATAATATTTTTTTTTAGTTTTGACGTTGCTCTAATTGAAACAAATGACTTTGACTTTGAATCTACAGTAAGTCTTAGTTCTCATGACCTGAATATACCATTAAGTAATTTTATGTATGGTTTAAATTGACTGTACGGTAGGTGCGATAGCTGGGCTGGTGCGCAACGTGTCGCGGGTTCGATTCTTTCACGGAGCAACTCTTTGTGTGATCCACAGATTGTTGTTCCGGATCTGGGTGTCATGGGCGATATAGAAGATAATTCTAGTGTGGGTAAACGTTTTTTTTTAAAGAAAAGGTTAAGTCACTTTGATCAATTGCTCTCGTACCAGCACGTCGTGTTGCAATGACTATCAGATCTCTCACACATGGCTCCTGAACTTTATACCTAATAAATTGTTTATCCTCCATACATATAGATAAATGATATACTAAACGTAAGCAATCACATAACATATCAACATACTATCACCTACTTATTATCAAAATAAATATTTTTCTTTTTCAGTCTGCAACCAGTATCCACCAAAACCACAATGGTAGCCAGAAACTTGTTCACCGTAAATAGGACTTTAACAACAGTGAAACAGAGTTCAAAATATGCAAGTGTTGTGATAAGGAAACATAGTGTTTGGACTCAGGATAGAGTGATCAAGTCCCCTTTCAAAGATGTTCATATACCTAACTGTACGTTGTATGAGTACATTTGGCAAAATCTTGATAAGTGGCCCGAGAGGACTGCGTCTGTAAGTATCTATTCATTATTCTCTTCATTTATTAAACTAAAACATTATTGCACACTGTGAAAGAAAGAAAGAAAGAAAGAAAAACCATTTATTTTGCCACGATACACTACAAGAATTTAGGAACACACAAAAAAGCCTATGGTGCGTCGCAGCGCAAAAGGCTGTGGTATTACCTATTTCATTATTACTTTTTCTGCCACAGGTCCACAGGAAGAAATTCCAGTAGGAATAGATGGTACCTTTGTACTTTAATTTTATGTATATGTTGTATAAATAAATAAATATGTTTCTTGAGGTAAACACGCAGAAGTTCACTTAGACGCTAACGAACTACGGTATGACATAAACACAAATCATTTGATTAATGGTATAGGTCAACAAATATAAATGAGTAGAAAATTATTTTTATCCTGAATATACTACTATATACCTTCACGAAAACACATTAATGAAGATATCATAGGACGTGCATAACAACAATACAAGCATTACATTATTTGACACAAAATAAAAACTATACTAAAATTACAATCAGCAAGAGGCAGTTAGATAGTAGAATTTGTTGATTTATCAGGATAACAATAAAAGCCGCTACTTTTCCACTTGATGCCCATAATCCCCTGAACGACAAGTGTCACTGTATTTTGGTGTTTTAACCTAATGACTATAAGCCATCTTATCAGAGATTTCATAATAACAAGATAGGGAAACGACATGAATTTACTGATAAGCTTAAGTTTGGAGTTTTTAAATTGTTGTTTAGTACTTTTACTATATATTTTATTTTGTGTGTAGGTATGCTATGTCGTATATATGATCTAAAACAAAAATAATGATCGTGGACCATGTCGAAGACAACTCGCCAGAAGTTACCCATTCGCGGAGAACCTAACGGGTTACGAGGGCTCCGGCTTGATGTGCAGGAGAAGGAACGGGGTGGTTTTTAGTCAGTAAGAGTCTGACACTCCCTTCCGCCTCACCCAGGCGTGAGCAGTCATTCGATGATTTTCCACCCTTAAAAAAAATGCGAATTGTGACGTGGTTCAATCCTATATATATATATATATCTTGGAGCCTTCATATCCAACAGGGGTGGTTGCGGAGATGAAGTTAAGCGCCGCTAGTGGTTGCGTGGCTATGGCCAAACTGCGGTGCAGAAGCATCTGAAGCAGGACATCCTCAACTAGATATAATTAGGTCAAATTTAACAATTTTTTTAAAACAATATTTCCAGGTCTGCGCAGCGACCGGCAGAGGGTATACCTACGAGCAAGCGTTCAAGTTATCAAACAGATTTGCTGCAAACCTTAGGACGAAATTCAAGATCCAAGATGGAGATGCCGTGGCAGTGATGTTACCAAATATTCCAGACTATCCTCTGGTGTCTCTGGGGATATTGGAGGCAGGAGGAGTTATTACTAGCATCAATCCCATTTATACTGCTCGTAAGTAGACCTTCTCTTGTAGTAGACAATGTACCATCCTTACTAATATTATAAATTGGAAAGTGAGTTTGTTTGTTTGTTCCACTTTCACGCCGTAACTACTAAACCGATTGCTTTGATTTTTTGCAGACGTAAAGTTAGAAGTCCGGATTAAATAATAGGGTACTTTTTAACCCGGAAAAATTGATATTCCCGAGGAAAAACAAAAGTATTGGTATAGATGGCGCTGTGTGTATTGGTATATGTCACATAGGCTACTTTTTATCCTTTTGTGACGCGAGCGAAGCCGCGGGTAAAAGCTAGTTGTTGTATAAAGGCATCTTGTCCTTAACACGTTAATCGCCACGTAGGTCATCGGTGATCTACGTTAGCGGAGGATTTGCCTTTGAACAATTTTGTGTCAGCAGTCAAAGGTTTAAAAGAACCAATGAGTAGCACTACATCAGTTTAGGACGAATAAGAATTAGAATTAGAGATTTCATATTTATACGCTAGTCTATATTTATAAATACCGTATCAATTTCTCAGGATCGCTTCAATTTTATACCCTCATTTTATTGTGTTAAAAGAAAAACTTTATATTGACGTACTAAAAAAACTAGTTATAGAATCATTGTAAGTACATTTTTAGATTACCATCACGCCTTTTATCTCCGTAGGCAGTGCACATTACGGCACTTAATGCCACTGTACAATACCTATAACACCTACTTTTTACTGTTTTTGTTATGAGTCCCATGAAACAGGGAGTGAGCATATTGACATATACCGGGCACAATACCAGAACCCGTGCTACTTCTCAGATTTTTTTTGAAAAACCCAGTATTTCTTTATCCGTTTTGGGAATCGAACCCGAGACCCCTAGCCTTGAAGCAGTCTTTTATAAGTGTAACCATAACAAGTGTTTGCCTGCATAATAAAACAACCGTAAATGCAAGAGGAAATTGTTTAGATCTAAATAATGCAAAATGTCTTAAAACTGGTCTAGACAATACTATAGAAGACAATGTTGCTTCATTCTCCCACGTTAATGCAAATAAACGAAGAGACGTCAGCGTTAATAGTACTGTGACGTCATAATTTTATTGATGTGACAATAATGATAAGTGAGGGTTATTCATTGCTCCATAAATTCGTTATAATGATACTAGAAAAAGTTTCACTTAATAATAAAAATAAATTATATGTTTCGATGAATAATATCAAGTCATTTGAAAAGGTTTATGTGGTCATAAGCACGGCTGAGGAAGAAAGACGTCACGACTGCAGAAGATTACAATTATAATCTCATAATAGTATTAAATCAGTAGACAAGACAAGCAATTTGGATCCAAAAGATAAATGAGATAAAGTTGTAACTAACTTTTGTTTTTTTTTATGGCATAAGCCGGTAAATGAGCAGACGGATCACCTGATGGTAAGCAATCGGCGTCGCCCATGGACACCTGGAACACCAGAGGCGTTACAAATGCGTTACCGGCCTTTTGGGGATTAGGAGTTTGAGGATCGTTGGGATTCAGGAATTGGGGAGATTAGGGAAGGGGAGGGTAATTGGGCCTCCGGTAACCTCACTCACACGACGAAACACAACGCAAGCGTTGCTTCACGTCGGTATCACTCCGGTCGAGCCAGCCCATTCGTGCTAACTCAACAGTTTCTTCTAATAATTTCAGACGAAGTCCAACGCCAGCTAAAACTGTCTGCAGCAAAGATGATTGTCACATTACCAGAGATCGTACCAACTATAAAGGAAGCCTTGAAGCTTGCCCAACTAGACATTCCAATAGTTGTAGTAAAAACCAATGATAGTCCAGTTCCTGAAGGTACAGCACTTTTCAACGAACTGAGTGAAGATATTCATGCTAATAAATCTATATTAAAACAAGTAAGAAGGACTGCCAACGACGTTTGTTTCCTACCATACTCTAGTGGGACTACAGGACTGCCAAAGGGCGTGGAACTCACCCATAGAAACATCATAGCAAACTGCGAACAGATCAATGAACCAATTATTGCTATGCACAAAGAAACAACAGGTGGGTTTACATTAGGTTTCATAACAAAATTAAGTTTCCTACTAAATGAAAGAAAATAGGAAGAATACATATAAAACGTAATTGTTCGTAGACTAGTAATTCATAATGTTTCGGAAACTCCCCTCAAATTTTTCGTTTTAATCATAGAGTAGCTTAGAACATAACAAAACACATTCACTATTTATGTTATGAGTCTCATGTAATAAGGGGTGCACCTATAGCCATATACCGGGCATAATTCCAGACTCCGTGCTACCACTGTCATTTTTTTTTAAAACGCAGTGCTTAGATTAGTTCTTTTTTGGAATCCATCATGGAACATCTGATGAGTATATGGAACAATTGGGATGTTGACTATCTTCATTTATTTATCCTTTTTCCAGCCACTCATCAAGATGTTGTGATGGGTGCGTTGCCATTCTTCCACATCTACGCAGCGACAGTCCTCATGTTTCACAAGATGTCCGTCGGAGCCAAACTAGTTGCTTTAGCCAAATTCCAACCTGAAGCATTCCTGAGTTGCATTGAGAAGCAAAAGACTAACGTATTGATGGTGGCGCCGCCTTTGAGTAAGTATTTAACCATTGGGTTCTATAGGGCAGATTAAATGCAGTAAAATATATTGCAATGAATATTGAATGAAATAAAGATAATGCAGCGATAAAGATTACAGATCGGTGCACTATCGAACTGGAGCTGCTCTCTGGTATTTGATAGATTGGACGATGTTTATTTCAATAGTTGAATATAACAGCCATATGACTTGTGTACTTGAATTGAAAGAGATGGTTATGCCAACAGTCTTAAGAGTTGGTTAGGCAAAACGATTACTCTGTGTAAATAAAATGTTTATCTAATAATTGACATGTCCATGTCCATAGATGTTTACATTTACACATACACCCACCTAAATTACGTACACACATACAAAATTTATTTGTTTACGTTGCTTTGTTGGCGATATTTTTTTGCACAAGGTCGTTCGTTGACTATACTAGTTTTGATTCCGGATTCTATAAAATTTGTACTATTATAGTTCAGTTCACTGGGCCGTATGTCAGTGAGAGTAAGATCTATTTTTGTTTACTAATTTTCGTGTAAATTCAAGGCCAAGTTATAATACGGGGGAGTATAAAATGAGCTTAGTAACAAAATATACGCCAGATGTAATGGCGAAAATTACAGCTTAAGTAAATTAATGTACTAAGTATGATTTGTTAGTAGCCATTTATAAATATTTGTATTTATTAATATAACTAATCGTATATAATTTTAGCTGTCTCTTACTTTTATTGTAATTATATGACGTCATCGATTTAAAAAATACGTACTTAGTTTTATTTATATTGATAAATTCGAGTTATTTTGGCAAGAAACTAGTATGTTTTATTTTCATAAGAGTATATTATCTACTACCATATAACAATATATTGTTAGATTAATAAAATCGTTTCCGTGTAAAAAGGATAAAATAATGATGCCCAAACAGTGTGACAGCACAGTTGTAAAAACAGGAAATGGTTTTTGGTCTAGCTCAAGGTCATTACTTTGTATGTATATCTATTGGATGTTGTATAAAAATCAAATTAAAAAAATATATTTAGAGAAATTAATATTTTATTAAACAACATAATATCACGCCCTTTACCATGACGGAGTTAGCAGGGGAGCACATTACGGCACTTAATGCCACTGCACAATGTAAAACTCACTTTTCACTGTTATGTTTTGAATCCCATGTAACAGGAGGTTAGCCTATTGCCATATATCGGGCATATTTCTGGACTCCATGCTACTACTGAGATTTTTTTTCAAAAACCCAGATATACCTACTTTGTCCGACCTGGGAATCGAACCCGAGACCTTTAGCCCGGCAGCCGCACTTGCGATCTCTCGGCCAACGAGGCAGACTACTTTACGAAACTTTTTATTGAAATTGACTTAGATTGCCGCATTGCCTCATCGGTCACAAGACTTACACTAATCAAAGAATGCATTTTTAAAACAGAATTTAGTATAAACCGCTTGAAATTTTGATTACAGTTCTCCTGATGGCATCTCACCCAGCAGCCACTGCGAAGACCCTGGAACCTATAGACGTCATATGTAACGGAGCAGCTCCTTTAGCTGGTAGTGACGTGGAACGATTGTTGAGACGGATGCAGGTATGAAGATTTCTTATAAACTAAAATACTGATTTAAAGATTAATATCCCTTTAAACCCCCTTCTATACAAATCTAATTGTCTATGTAAAAAAAATATTAAAGGTTATTATTTTTAAGCCTTAATTCGAAATTCTGCACGGTTGGTGCGGTGGCTGGACAACCGGCTGCCGTGCAACGTGTCGCGGGTTCGATTCCTGCACGGAACAACACTTTGTGTGATTCACAAATTGTTGTATCGGGTCTGGGTGTCATTGTGTATGTGAACTTGTATGTTTGTAAACGCACCATCGTTTTCTTTTGTTTTGATTGTTTGTTCTTAGAAATCTTACTAATCTTATTACCGAATATCGAAACGCTACTCAATTTTAAGTTGCGCTTAAGTATAATTATACCTTCATTGAATTGGAATGAGCACATAGCTTCAATTTTAATTTTGTTTTGTTGACGTTCAAAAGTGCCTTTCTGGTCTAAGTGAAATTAATGATTTTGACTTTGACTTTGAAGATATTAAGGAAATATAATTATTTTTAAATATTATTTATAATTATTTTTTTAGTTTTACAATTTAAATGTAATGTTTTTTTTTAACAACAAATACATATAAATAACAAGAAATATTAATGGAATTTAACCACTAAAAAAGTTAGCAGCTTAATTTTATTGTCCGTCATTACAAATTCTTTGTAAAATGACAACTTAATAGCCTTTCAGTATTCGGGCGTTAATGATACGAATAAAAGTTTGTATACCTAAGTAAGATTTCCAAAATAGAATCATCAATTACTTTGAAAAACGGAAGACATATTCTTAAAACAACGCCTGTGGCACCTGGCTACTATAGACTTACACGCAGAATACACACACATTGACACGAAGGACTGCCTCGTTGGCCGAGTGGTCGCAAGTGCGCCTGCCGGGCAAAGGGTCTCGGGTTCGATTCCCGGGTCGGGCAAAGTATTACTGGGTTTTTAAAAAAAATCTCAGTAGTAGCACGGAGTCTGGGAACGTGCCCGGTACCTATATGGCAATAGGCTCACCCCCTATTACATGGGACTCATAACATAAATAGTGAAAAGTGGGTGTTACATCTATGTGCACCTCTGCCTACCCCTTCGGGAATAAAAAGGCGTGATGTTATGTTATGTGACACGAAGGACATCTGTCGCTTGACATGGCCCATCATTACACTTCATACATTACGGGGTTGCAAGTACACACGCACATAAATACATCACTCCCATATTGGTGCCTCAATCATTAAATCATTTGTAAGGGACATCATTCACCTTTTTTTGTAACGTCCTTTGGAAAAATCTCTCGTTTTCAGCGCGATGTAGACTTCAGACAAGGTTATGGACTGACTGAGACGTCTCCAACATTAACAGTTACTCCTAAAGGGCTGATCCGGTATGAAGCAACTGGACCACCCGTAGCGAATACCGAGATGAGGATCGTGGACTCGGATCTCAAGAACTTGGGTCCTAATGAGGTTTGTAATTTTGAGGCTGTAATTTTTTGGTCATTAGAACAACGACAAGACCTGTTGGTTTATTTTTACTCTAGTAGTCAATTTCTTATACTTTCATTGTCTTCATTGATAAGCTCGTTGCTTCTAGTTTTTTAACAGGAGCTTCATTACATGTAATTTTTCCTTATCAAGGTCCCTAGCTTTTTTAAACATATTTCGATAGAATAAAAAAGAGTATCAAGTCTACGTGTGTGTGTTATTTGTTTGTGTGTTATTTGACCAAGTTACATGCAAAAAACGGAGTGATTTGTAATGACTGCTTCGTAGGCCTAGTGGTCGCAAGTGCGACAGCTGGGCAATGGGTCTCGGGTTCGATTCCCGGGTCGGGCAAAGTACTATAGGGTTTTTAAAAAAAATCTCAGTAGTAGCATGGAGTCTGGAAATATGGCCGGTATATGGCAATAGGCTTACCCCCTATTACATGGGACTCATAACATAAATAGTGAAAAGTGGGTGTTACTTCTGTGTGCCTACCCCTTCGGGGATAAAAAAGGCGTGATGTTATGTTATGTAATTTTTGCAGACCGGTGAGATCCTTGTGCGAGGTCCTCAAGTGATGCGAGGCTACAAAGACAACCCTGAAGCCAATAAGGAAACTCTCGTAGAAGGCAACTGGTTCAGGACTGGTGACTTGGGCGTCGCTGATGAAGATGGTATTCTTGTTATTGCTGATAGGCTCAAAGAGCTAATTAAGGTAAGAGCAATCGATGTATATAAGAAAAATATTGTGAAGTGGGTAAATAAGTACATGTTATTAGTATGACAAGGTGTTGGTTGCACGTTGTGAATTTGTGAAAGTCTAAAGTTATGGCAAAAATCACAAAGGCTCACCAATGATAACTATTATACTGATATTATGGCTAATGAACTTCATCACATCATCATAGCCTATAAGTGCCCACCGCTGAGCAAAGCCTCTTCTCACACGGACAACGTTTGAGCATTAATGCATTAAAGCACACTTGTTAATGGCATTTCAAACTAATTATTAGAAATTATATAACCAGGTTTCCTCACGATGTTTTCATCTTCTTTCACAATTTGTTAGTGGTATCTAAATAAATATGGTGAAGTGAATAATTAAGTGGTTGTTATTAGTATGACTGGACGTTGATTCGACATTGTCGTTTGTGAAAGTCTAAAGTTATGTCAAAAATTATGATAGCTCACCATTGATAACTATGATACTGATATTATACAGGGAATCATGAGAAGACATTACGTTATGATGAAATCGTCTAAACTTAATTCATTTCGATTCTTGACGTTCGATGTGAACAGACGTGCATACTAGAAATATTGAATCAAAGCAATAATAGTGACCTACATTATTATTCTGCTTATTGTGATACTTAGTTATAAATAATGGAAATACAAACTTAGTTGTTTCGAAGATGGATTTAAACCCGAGCAAGCTGGCTTCCTGTACTTCACCATTAAAGAGCAGCCGTAATTCTGACTTCTCGATACAAGCTGTGTCGACGCCCGATATACAAAATTGGATGTCAAACATTGAAGACCTGTTACATGAAGTTTGCACTATTTCCACAGAGGGCAAACTTAATTCGGACCAAAAACTTAAAATATCCAACCTGAGCCGAAAAATTGGTGCTGATGTCTCGCAAATGGCTGTCTTATACCAAGCTCTTAAGCAGCAAGCCCGCATAGCCGTCAACATTATAGATGAGATGAGAGAAAAGCAGGACCTTGTGGAACAAATTTCGGACATCAAGCAGACTATCAAGGATTCAGCATCAACGGGAAATGTTTCATTTGCTGACATGGTAAAGAAGGGAACTGACTTCGTGCGACCTACAAATCTGACTTCTATTGCAATTACCCAGCAAATAAGTCAAAATCTAGCGATGAAACAAAATCTCTCGTGCAAAAAATCATACGCCCTGACCAATTGCAGCTACATGTGCGTGGTGTGCGTAAAATCCATAACGGAGGCGTTATAATCAGCACTGAGTCTAAAGAAGATGCTAAGAAAGTTAAAGACGCACTAGCCCTATCATCGTCTGGACTTATTGCCGATGAAGCAAAAAAACGAAAACCAAGAATCACAGTTCTAGGAGTGCCGTCTGTTTTATCCGATGCTGATGTCCTCAGGTGCATATTTGAACAAAACATAGCTGGTAAGTTCCAAGAGTTGACTATAGAGTCTTTCCTAACAAGTGTGAAGTTAAGTCACAAATCTGGCAGAAAAGACGCGCCGACTTGTAATTACATCATCGAAGTTCCAGCCAACATCCGTAAAGCGCTTATATCGCAAGAGAGACTCTATATAAACTGGACGTCTTGCCCTGTCAGAGACTTCACGTTAGTAACGCGTTGCTATAAATGTCAGCAGTATGGCCACGCGGCAAAGACATGCCGGGAGCTCCACTCAGTGTGTGGCCATTGTGGAGAAACAGGACACATGACATCCGTGTGCACGAAGACAATCGACTTCCAAAATGTACCACATGCTCTCGCTTTAACAAGCCCAACAGTCACAAGACAGGAGACGCAGAGTGCCCAGCCAGGAAGATAGCCGAACACAGATATATCAATTCCATCGATTATGAAGGCGCATAAAGAGAAAATGCTCGAAGTCGGAATTCCAATTCGATTATTCATTTCGTTTAGTTTGGTTCACTTGTATAACAATTGCACATTAACAGGTTGGCTTACTCAGCAATTTATTGCTGTCCAAGCACATTTGATCTAACTGTAACAAGTGAGTGACCGTATGGACTCTGACCTAGTTTTTTGTGTTTCTGCAGACGATCTAAAATAATTGATAGCCTTGTAACATGTAATATTATCTAGTTTATATATGAATATAGCTTATACGATATTTTATTTAATTTTATATTAATGTATTATGTAAGTTCAACTTTTTATTCTCCTTCAGGGAATAAAAAGCGTGATGTTATTATATGTATGTATGTATGTAATGTAGTATATTAAACAATCCTACCTTACTTCTGAAAATTGTGTTAAATATTTTACATATACTATAAATAAGTTGTCTTATCAGTAACATATTTCTAGAGCTCCTGTCGCCTGTGACACAGGAATATTCCTAGTATAGGCATATTATTTTTAAGATCTTGTCGCTTAATTAAGATATTTTTGTACCTATGTTGACCAGTGTTCTTATGAATAAAAATTTTATTATTATTATTATTTTATTACATTTTACAGGTCAAAGGCTTCCAAGTGCCTCCAGCAGAACTGGAATCCGTTTTACGAGAACATCCCTCGGTCAACGACGCAGCTGTCATTGGAGTTCCTCATCAAACCAAAGGAGAATCACCAAAAGCCTTCGTAGTACTTAAGAATGGTCACAAATGTACTCCTCAGCAACTCAGCGAGTTTGTCAACGAGAAAGTAGCAGCTTACAAACATGTAGACGATATTACATTTATAGAGAGTGTCCCGAAAAGTGCAGCTGGTAAGATTTTAAGAAGAGTTCTTAGGGACCAGTACTGTTAGCATAGGAATAATGAAGCAGGTTGTATTTTCAAAGCATTTAACAGTTGCGTGGAAAAGAGATGTTATTATATCCCCTCTTCTTTCCACAAGTGGTTTTAAAATGACTTGAAACTCCTGCAGGGTAATTAGATTTATAAACAGTCAATTTATATGTTGTAAATAGTTGTAAGGACAAATTTTTCTGTTAAAATGAAAAATATATTTTTTATGAATCATGGTGCAATAATTGCTATATTGAACCGCATGTCGATATATGTGACATATTTTTTGTTAACCTGTTTTTTTGACCAAATTATCTAAGAATGATTTTATAAATTTTCCTCTTTCTTACTGAACTCTTTCGGTGATCATCATTTATCATCGTGTTTTTAGTAACTGTTGGAAAGAGAAAAATTAAGTACTTATTATATACTGACCTCCTACTTGAGATCTAGACTCAAATCATTTTGAAGCATCATCTAAGGAACATACGCTATAGTTCAATCATTAAGGAGGAAATATTATGGTTAATTGAAAATTGATATGAAAATGAATATGATTTTAATCGCACATCAAAATCCACAAAATTGCCAATTTTTCAAGATTTTCATTTTTGATTTATCCATGTACGTGGGCCGCTCGCGTCGTCAGTTTTTCCAAGATGGCGGTACGAGCTGACTGATGACTGAACTACATATCAATATTATATTTCTATCAACTTGCTACTTTTGACCAACTTTACAAACAGGTTAATAAAAACATTTTACTGGTTACTTGGATGATTTCAAATTGATTTTTATATCCCTATTTTTTTAAACTAACATGGTAGGTGGTGGATCACAGAAAATTTTGTATTATACATTTAAACTTAAGGTGATTTTGGTCAAAAGAATTAAAAGATTTATAACTATGGACATACGGTTTACTGTTGCATTTTTATATTTATTAATATTGTCATTACGAGCTTAAAAACGTAAGATATACGATAAATAATTTTGATGAAAATTTAAACAATCAATATACATTTGTAAATTACAATGAACCGAGGTAGGTAACGTAAAGTAATATTTGGACTAAAGATTTACAAACAGCTTTAATATCTTATAAACAATACGTAACTAAACATTACTTTAGTTATATACTTCAATCAGTAAATAATTGAAATCATAGATACGTAAATAGGTGAAAAGAAAGTGATAGAAAACCTTTTTGTAACTTTTTAATTATTATTTTGATTATTATTACTGTTATTGATAAAAGAATAAAATTCATATCATTTTTAATATTAACTTATTGTTTGACTTAACCTAACCTAATATAGTTTATTTAATTTGAGTAATTGGGTAGTTTTCAGGGTAAAAAAATTAAAAATCTAATTAGTCCGTCAGTTAGGTAATGAAAATATTTTTTTTATTTATTTCGTAAAAACTTCTATTTTTTAGGTAATTCAGAATGTCTTACGATAGTTTTTATAAAAACAAGAGCGCTGCTTATCAGTCCCTATTAAATATGTACGTACTAGGTATCTTAGTGTCTCACACTCGCGGAAAGATTAGCGGTGGTGTCAAAATGAGCTATACCACCGCCAGATTGTTATATTCTTTTATTACATAATACAAAGTTATAGATTACGTCTGCTAATTTCGAAAAAATCCAATGACACACATCAAGTATCGAACCCAAGTTTCCTTGTTCGGTATTCTCGCTAACAATTATGTAGATAATCAGAAATCGAGATTCGCTCCAGACTAAACGGGTTTAAGAAACTCCAGCTTAAAGCAGAAGTAGGAATAGGGTGGTTTTTATTCAGTAAGAGTTTGACATTCCCCCTCGCATCACACATCAAGCCGGTAACGCACTTGTAACGCCTTGGTGTTTCGGGTGTCCATGGGCGATGCCGATTGCTTACCCATCAGGTAATCCGTCTGCTCGTATACCGGCTTACGCTATAAAAAAAATACTCAAGACGGGAGGAGCCATTGAATGATTTCCTCCCTTAAAAAAATATACTGCCAGACGTTTACCTTATCTGCAACAATATTACATAACCTTAACATTCAAAAGTCTATGCAAATAGCTCGCTAACAATGAATAATATTAATTCATTTGTATTTCTTAAGATAAGTGTGTGATAAACGTAATTATTATCTTCATTTACTATCGGAGTATAATAAAATGATTATGCCACAATACAGGCAAAAGGACAGCAGTTACAAACTACAAGTATTTTATATCTATATAATTATAATTTTGGAAAAGTTATATCATTAAATTCCCCAATCTCGTATTCCCCAACGGTCCTCAAACTCCTAATCCTCAAAAGGCCGATAACGCACTTGTAACGCCTCTGGTGTTGACCATTGCTTACCATCGACGTTTGATACGACGAGAATTGTATTATGAACCTGATTGGAAAAGCGTAACCTATGGAGTTCCTTGCTCGTTCTTATCCACAGGAAGCTACACCTTGGAATGAGTAAATAGCTTCACTTTTAATTTTTTATTCTTGACGTTCAAAAGTGCCTTCCTGGTCTAATTGAAATAAGTGATTTTGACTTTGACTTTGACCATCAGGTGATCCTGTTCGCTTATCGGCCATTAAAAGTATGTTTCTCTATACTATACAACATCGCGCTACGGTCAAAACGAGCCGAACAGAGTAGGTAAAATCGGGCGGAAGTAGGTAGTTTAAAATATGTTATACAAATACATGTTTCGGCAAATATAATTAATAAAAAACATTGTTAGTGTGATATTTATAACTAAGTATATGAACCGGTTGTATCGAGACGAGGTCAAACTCTATTGATAAAGGACCTTGTGGATCTACGCGTATCTATACGCGTATAGAGGTATACAATGATATTGAAACACTGATTAGTAGTAAAGTATCATAATTATAACATTACAATATCTATGAATAACATTTGCCTAGCCAAATACAGTCAGAACAGCTGTTTATAAATCATGTAGGTAAAAAAATAAAGAGGCCCAATATCCCCAAACACAACCATTCTTAAATTCCTAATCCCCAAAAGGCTAGCAACGCACTTGTTATGCCTCTGGTGTTTCAGGTGTTGATGTACGGCGTCAATTGCTTACCATCAGGTGATCCGTCTGCTCGTTTACCGGCTTATCCCATAAAAATGATAGCTTCAGTACAGTTACAATAACCATTTGTTGGCTACTGAACTGATCGAGTGGTCGCAATTGCGACTGCCGGGTAAGGGGTCTCGGGTTCGATTCCCGGGTCGGGCAAAATATTACTGGGTTTTAAAAACTCTCAGTAGTAGCACAGAGTCTGGAACTGTGCCCGGTATATGGCAATAGACTCACCCCTTATTACATGGGACTCATAACATAAATAGTGAAAAGTGGGTGTTACATTGTACAGTGGTATAATGTGCACCTCTGCCTACCCTTTCGAGGATAAAAGACGTGATATTATGTGTTATGTGTGAACTGATCAATGATTATAGATTTGCCTTGGTTTAGAACTATTTAGCATAATAATAGCTATCTCTGTACTGAGTCAATCTTTATTTTCTTAGCTGTGTTGCGACTGTACCTAAAACAATGAATATAACACATAACGAAAAATATTTCGACACGTCCTCTTCGCCTCATTATTAGTAGAAGAAACGAGGTGAAAATAGGCGGGGAAAGTAGGTATAGTTACCAATGTAGGACTTCTATTCTGCCATCACTGTTCGTAAAATAACGTAGCGTAAACAAATTGTCACGTGATATTAAAAAGTGCTTTGGATGAGAGTAAAACAAACACGTCCTTGATTAAATTCTAGTGTGAAACATTTTTGATTGTGAATTGTAATCTCGTTAATTGTTAAGTTTTCAGCTTACTCACGTAATTGTTTGACGAGGAACTCGACTAGTTTCAAGCCATACTAGAGGCTCATAATTATTCATGAGCGATTACACAACGGTGACTGTCGCCCTGCTAATACACACATGCAAATATTAATTAATTCAGTATCTCTCGCGAAAGTTATAAGGTAATGATTGTAGTTGAAAAATAATGAAGTGCTTTCATTCTTAGTTTTAATTTGAAGTGGTACTTCTGTTATTTAACGGCCAAACAGGCGCGAAATATAACAAATTCATGAACCGTCTGCTTCCATTACTCAGAAGACGTTCAACGTTGTCAACGTGCGGACTACTCGAATTATCAGTGTGTTTGTAAATAATATAATTTTAAAAATAAACTTTTCATCTATATTAAACCATAACTACTGATATTATTGTATTACTGTCGTCGTCATGTCTACAATAATATTTCGTTTTAGACCGAAATTTAGCCGTTTTTGTCTTGGTGCGTGTGTTAGAGAAAAAAGTGTTTGGACCAGTGAGAAGATTTTAGCTTCGGCTTCTAAAGAAGTTGACATACCGAACTTAACAGTGGATCAGTACCTGTTTAGCAATTTAGAAAAATGGGCAACTAAGACTGCTGTGGTAAGTACGTATAATTGTATAAGTGAAGCATTTCTGCTTGTCCCTGTCTTAAATTAATGGATTTAATAAGTCTTGTTGTCTTAGGCGCTTTTGCCATACCTAATATTGGAAGCAAGTATAACAGCTCGCGGAGTCGCGGAGAACCTAACGGGTAACCGGGGCTCCGGCTCGACGTGCAGGAGAAGGAACGGGGTGGTTTTTTTCCCCCCTTAAAAAAAAAAAAAAATTATAACAGCTCACACATTGGACCCACTTAGTTTTCAGTCAAATTTGCGTGGTGATTGGCGAATGTGCTTCACCCAGTTGTACAGTCTCTTTTTTTGTGCCTTCAGGCTTAAATTATTCTGTTTCCTGCAGTAATTCACCGAGGGAAGTGGAAACTATATTTTTTTTCTTTTCCTCTTATAATATCTTCTGATTCACTTCGATGCGGGAACCAAGACAGTTATTCATGTCCCTGGGACGCGCCGGACTTCAGTGTTCCGGTGTTTTCATGGTTGTATCTACTGTAGATCCTGGCTTACAGGAGTTGCAGCGGTTTTGGGAGATTATGCGGGCTTGTCCCATAAACAATGCCTTGTTGTCTCTTCTTTATCAAACTCAGTTTTTCAAACTACTTTCTGCTGTTTAATTTTCGCCATTATCAGTATTATTGGACTTCGCTACTCTCGATGACTATAAGTTTATAATATCTTAATTACATACTTATAAATATTGCCTAATAACTATTATCGCATTATCGGCAAACATTTAATTATTCAAGGTCTCAAGGTCTCCCTAAAATGATAGACTGCTGTAGTTAGTAACTTATTAGAAACCTACCATTAGGTGTCTAGAACAATATTATTTAATAGAAATCGAGAATTTGTTGAGAAAAAAATCACTATTTTATTACATACATACATAACATCACGCCTTTTATACCCTAAGGGGTAGGCAGAGGTGTGCCTTACGGCACTCAATCCCAATGTACAATGTAACACCCACTTTTCACTATTTATGTTATGAGTCCCATGTAATAGGGGGTGAGCCTATTGCCATATACCGGGCACGATTCCAGACTCCGTGCTACTACCTACTGAGATTTTTTTAAAACCCAGTAATACTTTGTCCGACCCGGGAATCGAACTCGAGACCCCCACTTGGCCAACGAGGCAGTCAGTATTACATACTTCGCTTTTTAATGTATTAAATACTAGACACATATACTATTTCGAAACATAGATCAGATTAGCCGTCTATCAATAAACAAATTACTGATAAATATTTTTACACTGAGTTTATGCACGATTAATTCAAAGGCCAATCAACTGTGGACGAGTTTATTTACGTAAGTCGTGTTACCAATATTGATAACACTTTTCATACCTACCTACAGATGCATTTTTTGACTTTCCTTCTTCAGATAGAAGGAGAGGGAAAAGTATGTACAATTGTACGTCAGTATTTTTTTTATGGCATAAGCCGGTAAACGAGCAGACGCATCACTTGATGGTAAGCAATCGGCGTCGCCCATGGATACCTGGAACACCAGAGGCGTTACAAGTGCGGTACCGGCTTTTTGGGGATTAGAAGTTTGAGAATCGTTGGGGATTCAGGGATTGGGGAGATTAGGGAAGGGGAGGGTAATTGGGCCTCTGGTAACCTCACTCATACGACGAAACAAGCAAGCAAATGTTGCTTCACGTCGGTTTTTTGTGAGGCCGTGGTATTACTCTGGTCGAGCCGGCCCATTCGTGCCGAAGCATGGCTCTCCCACACTTTTACATACATAATTATACAGTATATCTATTTACTATGGTACAGGTAAGAAAATAAACATTGACATATAAACTATAAACATTATTAGCACAGAGACAGTAACCATCGGCTACTGAACCTATCAATAGTTACAGAAGTAGTATAGAAGTACAGAAGAAGCTTACAACATAGTTACGGCAGACTTGTTTGAAAACATTTATTTTTTGTTAATAAACATGTTGCGTCACACTAGGATGTTCTCCTGTGTCGTGGGTGCATTTACAAACATACAAGTTAACATACACATGACACCCAGACCCGGAACAACAATCTGTGGATTATTCAAAGAGTTGCTCCGTGCTGGAATCGAACCCGCGACACGTTGTGCGGCACCCAGTCACCGCACCAACCGTGCAGTGCACTAAATTAGCTAAAGAACTTATTAGCTGTTGTCTCTGAACTAGGTCTATCTTTATTTCCTTACCTGCATAGTAAATAGATGTGCTGAATGTATTTATGTACCTATGTATAGCACCTTAAAGTTTCCTTTTGGCTGTCTCAGCTAAGTAGGTCTGTCAAATCAAATAACACAGGCCTTACCAAATAATTTTGATTTAGCAATTGCTTCCTTAAACACATTAAGTTTGGAACGTTATTTGAGTCATGATTGTTTAACCAAATACATATTATATGAAGTAGGTATGTTTGTTGATATCAAAGGTCGACATTGTAAAAACATCGCAACCAGTGGGTATAAAGTAAGTTAGTAGAGACAACGTTTTACGATTTTTGACCTCACTTGATGAGGTCCTATAATATTAAAAGTATTAGAGGAGGAAGCAAGGATAATTATAGTCAGTTCTATAATATAAAAATAGGTAAAATGTTTACCGAAAAATATGCATTATATTTTATACGCTTGAGATTTTGTTTTGATCAGTTTCACACGATGATTTTCATTTATGTGTGTGCTAAATAATAGTTAATGGCCATGTGTGTTGTTAAGTACAAAACATCTAAGTTTAAATCCAGCTACAGTTAAGCATTCATTGAAGTCTGAAAATGAACTTCATGAAGACAAATTTGGGAATGTGCAATAAATAATTTGAGATACAGAAAAGTATCTACTATTGTGCCAACTATGGACCTTCGGACGGCGAGCATGGGTGGCTCACCGTCCGACCAGAAACAGACCCGAGCGTACGGCGCGTCGCGTTCCGCGCGCGCCTCATAGAGCCATCAGACCACCAGATTCGGAGTCGCGGAGAACCTAACTGGTTACCGGGGCTCCGCTTCGACATGCAGGAGTAGGAACGAGGTGGTTTTTAGTCAGTAAGAGTCTGACACTCCCTCCCTCCTCACCCAGGCGGGAGCAGTGATTCGATGATTGTCCCCCCTTAAAAAAAATGTGTCAACTACTTAGGTAATAGTTATACCTACTTTTTACAGATCTGTGGCCAAACAAATAGACAGTACACATATGAGGAGGTGTACAAGAAATCAAGAATCTTTGCCGCCAATTTGAGAAGAAAGTTCAAAATCAAAGATGGCGACGCCGTTACTGTTTTACTGCCAAATGCGCCTGAGTTTCCCATCATCACGTTCGGTATTCTTGCTGCCGGTGGTGTGGTTACGACTATGAACCCTGTTTATACTGCATGTAAGTCATTTGTTGCTTGCACTACTTCCTGCAGTTCTTTTTTACTTCTTAACTATTATTATTCAGTCTCCTTGAATCCGTCCAGTAGTCATTGTTTAGAAAATTGGTTTGTTTCCGTAATATACATTTAATGACGTCAATATTTACTTCTTAGGTAATATTTTTAATATTGTTTAAATTAATTATTTCTTGAATAGTTCATTATTAAGACTACACGAATCTATTTAAATGTCAGTTAATAAATAATTTCCATTTAATTTAACTTTAGAATTCTCACGAGAAGATAAATATTTTAAAAATAACATAATTTAATTAATCTGTGACTACTAAATAACTTACATAACATTACATCACGCCTTTTCATCCCCGAAGGGGTAGGTAGAGGTGCATATTTCGGCACTTAATGCCACTGTACAATGTACACCTACTTTTCACTATTTATGTTATGAGTCCCATGTGATAGGGGGTGAGCCTATTGCCATATACCGGGCACAATTCTAGACTCCGTGCTACTACTGAGATTTTTAAAAACCCAGTAATACCTTGCCCGACCCGGGAATCCAACCCGAGACCCCTTGCCCAGCAGTCGCACTTGCGACCACTCGGCCAACGAGGCAGGCAAGCAGTTCTAGATAACTTATAGTATGATAATATAACAAAACAAAATCTTTCTTTAATTACAGACGAAATCCAGCGGCAGATTCTTTTATCAGAGACAACACTCATTATAACTAATGAAGATTTAGTTCCAACAGTGAAAGAAGCTTTGAAACTAGCAGAGAAAGACTTTCCGATAATCTCCTTAAATCTTAAAAATAAACCAGAAGGAACAGCTTCGTTCAAAGAATTGATTGATGATGACCATGTTGATTTAAGTGTCTTAAAAGAAGTTAATAGAAAACATGATGATGTAGCGTTTTTGCCATACTCTAGTGGCACTACTGGGCTGCCTAAAGGCGTACAGCTGATTAACAGAAATATTGTAGCAAACTGCGAACAACAGAATACTGATTTTAGACAGTATGAATATACTACTGGTAAGTGATTGTACATAAGTAATGGGGGCTGCCGTATTTTGGTCTTCATATGGTGCCAGAAAATGTAGAAAGAGACTTTTAGTCCAATCACAGTAGTTGTCAAATGTCGAACGTCCAATGGGGTGACACTAGATAATTCCCTATTGGACCAATAAAGACAGGTTAACACTGGTGCCATCTGTTGAACAAAAATACGATAGGCTAATTGAGAATTAAGTTTGGTATCTGAGAAAGAAAAACGTGAAGAAAAATATGTTTCCAAAACAATGAATAAATTAATGTGAGAAAATGACAACACAATGTTTTGTGTACTTACTGTATAACTTCGTATCGTTACGTATCTATCAACTTTTGTAGTTAAATGAGATAAATTAATGCTAAACTACCTCTGCATTTAAACAATGATAATAATTAATTGACAACAGCACGATATCACATTTTTAATCAGCGTGTATCCCTCTCGTTATTTTGTATGGAATTAAACTGTCCTAGGTTTTTTGGTCCAGATCCAATATTATTTTATTCTTCGCTTCAAAAGAATCTGTTTTTGCTTCTAATGTAATCGTGGTCGTCAATTGCTACCAATGAGCTGGATAGGAAATCATTAGTAGATACAGATACGTTTTGCTCACCCCTGAGATTGTAGTTACGCGAATATGAATCTTAAGAATATTTAAACTAACTTACAATTGGCCATTTCAGAGTCACATCAAGACAGTACTTTGGTGGTGCTGCCATTGTTCCATGTATACGGGTTGAGTATCTGCATGTTACATAAAATGTCTGTTGGTATGAAGCTGGTGACTCTGCCAAAATTCCAACCAGATATGTTCCTGAACGCGATGCTAGCAAATAGAATCGACTTGATGTATTTGGCTCCACCAATGGGTAAGGAACTTGTTGCAGTTTGCGCTAAATTAACTAATAAACTACTTTATTCAACTCATTTTATATTTAACTAGCTGCCCTGGCAAACTTCGTACCCCCTAAAAATTTTTTTAAGCCTTGTAACCATTTCTAGTCAAATCGGTTCAGCAGTTTTCGAGTTTTAGCGAGTATAAACAACGGAAATTTTATTTGTGTAGATTAAATATTTGATCATTGAAAAAATGTAGAAGATCTGCCGTACTCAGATGTATTTATTGATTATTTAGAGTATTCCTAAGTATGATTTTGTTGCAATAATAATTACTAAGGATTGGGTTACGTAGTCATTCTATGACTCTAAGTAAGGCGGTTAGTTTTGGTGTCAATTTTGTGCCTTGGAAACTATTGTATCTTGTGTGGGACTTACTTTAATCAACTTACTTTTTTCCAGTCATGTTCCTCGGTGCATATCCTCAAGTGACGGCAAAGCATCTGGAACATGTGAGGGCAGTGACGTCAGGAGCTGCGCCTTTACCTTCTGCGGATATTCAGAGACTCTTTGAAAAGGCTGAGGTCTGTATCATATTGGAATATTTGTTGCCATTGAACTCAAAGCAATGGGTCGCCTATTCTTTTTTTAAATTTAATTTTATACTTACATACTCTTTTGGAGAACGCTTTAGGGATACAGCAGAATTAGGACTATGAAATTAAATACTATCCTATAAAACTTTGTTCAACAATAGTGACTATATCCATAATTTTTCAGAGAGAAATCCAGTTCTGCCAAGGTTATGGTTTGACAGAAACGTCTCCTCTGATCAGTCTGACTCCCTTTGGTGAGAAGACATATGAAGACGTCGGATATTTACTGCCAAACATGTATTGCAGAATCGTCGATGAAAAGATGAATAATTTGGGACCTGGTGCGGTACGTATTAATAAATGAAGATTTGAAATCCTACTAATAAATGTGTGTATGGAAATTATTTCCTTTTTACGTAACAATAACTGGAGGGATTTGGGTAAAATTATTTATAGAGATAATAGTCTGAAAATAATACATGGGGTCATTTCGGAAACGCGAGCGAGGCTACTGGCAGAAACTAGTTATGAACCTATATTATAAAAAAATATGAGTCCATACCTTATGTTATAACTGTTGTTACAGGTTGGAGAACTTCTAGTTAAAGGACCGAACGTAATGAAAGGGTATTTGAAGAATCCACAAGCTAATAGTGAAGTATTTGTCGATGGAGACTGGTTTAGAACTGGGGATCTGGCGAAAATTAATGAAACTGGATTGATTACCATTGCTGATAGGCTTAAGGAACTGATTAAGGTAGGTTAATAAGTATAGAAAGCAAGAAAATGCGACTTACGCCCGAATACTAAAAGGCTACTCAATTTTTAGTTGTACGTAAATATCATGCCATTACAAAGTATTTGTAGTGACAGAACTACATAATACTTAAGCGCGGCTTCAAATTTCGTTTCAGTATTCGGGCATTAGTCTTTTTGTGCGAACTATGGCTGGATACAAGCGAAGTGTGTAAACACGTTCTTAAACCATTACAGATAGTTTGATTACATGTTTGAAGTATCTGTAATGTGCAAACCTAAAAAAGCGCCTAGTCTAAATAAAATAGCTATTGTGTTTCATGTGACAATTGAATACAATATATTTTTAAGCGCCTGAATGAGTATTGCTGACACTTAATAGTGTTTGGTAGTTTGTTGTAGGCGCTTTTAAAGTTTTAGAAAATGATGACAATAATACATACAATACCTTTAAACGAGCAATTCTTGTATATAGGCATATATCAACGATCTCAGAAACGGCGCCAACGATTTTCAGGACAATTTTTTGTAGGGACAATTTTTTTTTGTTTTAAAAAAACGTTGCCCACACTAGGATTTTCTCCTGTGTCGTGGGTGCGTTTACAAACATACAAGTTCACATACACAATGACACCCAGAACCGAAACAACAATTTGTGGATCACACAAAGTGTTGTCCCGTGCGGGAATCGAACCCGCAACACGTTGCACGGCAGCCGGTTGCCCAGCCACCGCACCAACCGTGCAGTCAAGATAAACAGGTTTCATTTTCAGAAAATATTTATTACTTAAGAAAAGATGAGCGAGCCTACATTTACACAGTAATTTACTCTATTCTATATTACAGGTGAAAGGCTACCAAGTACCACCGGCAGAGTTGGAGAACGTGCTAAAAGAACATCCAGCAATTCTGGATGCGGCTGTTGTTGGAGTACCTGACACGGTCACGGGAGAAAGACCACGAGGCTTCGTAGTCTTAAAGCCAGAAGCCAAAGCGAATGACAAAGATATAATGGAATTTGTCAGCAAAAGAGTAGCACCATACAAGAAGATTAATGAAATAACATTCCTAAAAGAAATTCCAAAAAATCCATCAGGGAAAATCCTTAGGAAATCTTTGAAAGAACAGTATTGTAAATAAATGGTTGGTTGTGTTGTTGTTTCTGAAGTTAATTTATTTTGAGGGCAATATTATTAAATTAATTACAAGAATTTTGTGAGTGTTTTATTTGTTTGCAAGAACTGTCATTTTGATGGTAGGTGTTGTGGTGGCCTGGGGGATTAAGACGCCCGCTTCTCATACACCATAGTGCGACTTTTTATCAATGTGACTTTTTCTGAGTTATATGTACTATCTAAGATTATTTAGACACCACTGACAAACGGTGAAGGAAAACATCGGGAGGAAACCTATGGAGTTTCTTATTCGTTCTTCTTCATAGGAATCTACACCTTGGAAAGAACAAATAGCTTCACTTTTAATTTTTTGTTAAGGTTCAAATAAATAAATGAGACATTGACTTGATTGAAAATTAAAAAAAATAGGCATTGGTTGGTCAATAGGCATGTTAGGTTTCATACATACATACATAACATCACGCCTTTTATCCTCAAAGGGGTAGGCAGAGGTGCACATTATGCCACTGTACAATGTAACACCCACTTTTCACTATTTATGTTATGAGTCCCATGTAATAGGGGTGAGCCTATTGCCATATTCCGGGCACAGTTCCAGAATCCGTGCTACTACTGAGAATTTTTTAAAAACCCAGTAATACTTTGCCCGACCCGGGAATCGAACCCGAGACCCCTTGCTCGGCAGTCGCAATTGCGACCACTCGGCCAACGAGGCAGTATGTTAGGTTTCATTGATTTAATATCAGTATTCCAATGGTTTAAATAGGTTATTACAAACAAAATATTCCATTGAACTAATATTTTTATACTTATTTAATTTAACTCGTCGAGTACCGGTTTTATAGACACAATGAAAGAACAATAGGTCGCGGTCACCGGTGACCGCTTGGTGTTTGACAGTTTAAATGTATTAAAAAATATACACTGGAGTGCGTTTAACTAAATATTTTTTTCCTGTGTTGCCTGTGTGCACCTTTTTGCCGGCAACGCACCTGTGTCTCCTCTGGTGTTGTCGGTGTCCATGGGCGGCGCTGATCGCTTACCATCAGGTGATCCGTCTGCTCGTTTGCCTCCTATTATTAATGCATAATAAACACCTAGTAACACATTACAATTTAATTATATCAATCAGTGTATTTCGATTGACTCACTTGGGTTCGAATAACATACTTTTTGATAATATATAGGTAGGCTATTGTGAGGATAAAAAATTTGCCAATTTCTTCTCCCGCCTCATGGCAGGATGAAATGTCCTACTCTTACTGACTTTTTGTATCAGTCGAACCTTTAGATGATGCAGAGAAAATGGTGGGTGCAAGGACAAGCAAATGAATTTATCAATATGTATAATGCATGTACCTATTTCAAGTTCATTAAAAGGTTCTTGATAACTTGCGGGACTGACAGATAGATGACGATAAATGATAAAAAATACGCAGATATTCATTAAAATTCAAAATAAGTTCTTATAACAGCTACAATAATTATCATATTTATTGTTAAGTTATTAAGCAACTAGCTTCCATTTTGGAAGATTTTCCATCACGCTTGCTATTGACGATTACTTGGCCCACCAAGTGACCCATCATGTGTGAGGTCAATATTTAAAGGCCGCTAGACTACTGCTAATTTTAGATGTATTTATTACTAAATATAGCAGAAACTAGTTAGTTTTTGGATATTTCCTATCTTATATTAATTAAATCAAAACATCATGTTCATTAAAACAAACGGATTTTAACTGAATCAATACTTTTATTAAACAATTATACTGAGTATAATAGGGTAGTTTCCTAAATTTTATTTTAATATCCGTCTTGTACATTAATTTAAAACGTTAGACACGTATTTTTTCTTGTCTCACAAAATTAAATACTTTCGACGATATATTAATTCGAAATATCGTGTGACGTCACAGCGTGCCACATTTTGTAGCACGTTATGACATAACGACCTCCCACTCCTAAACTAATCGCCATTTTATCTAAGTATTGCAGCTTGATACGAGAAAATAAAAAATACGTGTCTAATATTTTTTCATTATCTAACTGACGGATCAATTAGATGTTTAATTTTGATACCCTGGAAACTACCCAATTGTCGAGTTTGTTTGAATGCGTTAATCTCAGAAATTACTAGTTCGAATTGAATATTTTTCTTTATGTTGAATAGTTTATTTACCAGAGAATAGACTATAAGACATCATGCTATGATCAATGGCAGCCAAGCAGAGCGGGTAAAACTGGGAGTAGCTAATACATATAATAAAGGTATTAGAGAACCTAATAAACACTTTAAGTGTGGGAGAGCCATGCTTCGGCACGAATGGTCCGGCTCGACTGGAGTGATACCACAGCCTCTCAGAAGATCCACGTGACACAACGCTTGCGTTATCCCTTACAATTACCCCTTCTCCCCTTTCCTGTTCCTGAATCCCCAATGAATGAAAATGAATAAATAAATAAAATCCTCAAATTCCTAATTCCAAAAGGCCGGTAACGCACTTGTAACGCCCCTGCTGTTTAGGTATCCAAAGGCGACGCAGATTGCTTATCATCTGGTGATCCGTCAGCTCGCTTACCGGCCTATCCCATATCCCATAAAAAGAAAACGTATTTTTCATTTTTCGAGACGCGGTTGCCCGGAGGTTGAAAACACTTTCTAAGATTATTTAGACACCACTGACAAACGGTGAAGGAAAACATCGTGAGGAAACCTGGGCTTATAATTTCTAATTTGAAATTTGAAATCGCTAAACTGCATTGAGCAAGCATGGTTGTGCTTGTGTAATGCTTAATCCTGCGTACGAGGAGAGGTGTCAGCAGTGGCCACTTATAGTTAATTGATATTGTTGATGTTATTATTATTACAATCCAAAATATACATTCGCGACACATAATTCTCGAGTGACGTAAAAAAACAAAAAGGCAACAAATGGAAACATTTAAAAGAGTTTCATCTAAATTAAAATAATTTGGCGAAATGACAATTTTTATAAACCAATTGGTATGCAGGCGCCACAATTCTGTCTTCGATTTTATACATGAAATTATACAACAGACGATTTATTAAATATAATATATTCAATAGGTAGTTAAATAGCCATCAAAACAACACTGGATTCCGGCTCAAAACATAATTTACATACAATTATTATAAAATATATTGTAACAGTCTTCTTTTTGTCGAATACTTTTACACAGCAAATCTGCGTTGGCGCCATGCTATTTTGTTTCTGTTTTGTTTTTTTATGTTACAATATAATAACAATAAAATTGTATTAACTTTATCTTTTCTTGATAAATAATACCTACGATTCGAATTATTTATAATATAGGATAATGTTATTAAAATGAATTCGTTCTAAGTTTATATATATGTAGCTGTATTTGGTTGTTTTTTTTTTAGTGAATTATTGGTTCAATTTTATTAGATTTTAGGGACTATACTTAGGGATTGTACTTGTATTAAGTATACTTTGTCGTTGCCAATAGTTTTTTTTTAAATATCAGATATATATCCTAACTTCCTAACTAATATTATAAATGCGAAAGTAACTCTGTCTGTCTGTCTGTCTGCTACTCTTTCACGCCAAAACTACTGAACGGATTTGAATGAAATTTGGTATACAGATATTCTAGACCCCGAGATAAAACATAGGCTACTTTTTATCGCGAAAAAGGGGTTGTTGTAAGAATAATTATTACGATTTATCTGAAAACCTGAAAACAGATATCTGACAGGTAACAACCTAATGATTTGTAATTGTTATGACGTCCTACTTTCATAATATATTTTGGCATCAACATATAAAAATGAAGTTCTGTGGGTTTTCAAGGAATAATATTAGTATTCAGCTGCATCAGGGATCAGGGATTTTAAAGACAAAATACGAAATCAATTGACTGAATACAATTTATTCATAGACTAGCCTCTGTCTGCGGCTTTTCTCGCGTTCTTTTAATGGGGTGAGGGACGGATTTACAATAAAAAAATGAAATGATGCACGATTCTATGCTGGTCACAAATAACCCGCATACCAATTGTTAGCTTTCCACATTGAAAATTGCAAAATACCCCATACAAACTTTCACCTCTGTTTCACGGAAGTGGAAGGGGGTTAAAAAAAGACAAAAAGTAGCCTATGATACTCTCCATCTTTTCAACTATCTCAAATCAGAAACCTTCCTGACTCCGTTCTGTCGTGAAATACGGACAAACAAACAAACAAGCACATACAAATTTATATTATTAGTATACATTTCTTAAGTCATCTGACATTTGTGTGACAAGTGAGTTTACAAAGTCAATGTGTCATAGATTTTTTTTATACTATGGTATTAATATTAAGGTATGCAAAGAGGTAGACAGCAGTCTAAGGAGATAAAACCACGAATAAAATATTTTCAGTTTACTTGAATTCGTATTTTTTATATATATCAAAAAAACTAGCTAAATGCACATAGCTAAAAAATAATATTAGTCCTTTTCATTTTAGACCGTCAAGGCCAAATTCACTATGATAGTTTGCTGTTTGTTTATGGCATAAGCCGGTAAACGAGCAGACGGATCACCTGATGGTAAGCAATCTGCGCCGCCCATGGACACCTGTAACACCAGAAGTGCTAGAAGTGCGTTACCGGTCTTTTGGGAATTGGTAATTTGAGGATTGTTAGGGATTGGGGGAGCTGGGGGAGGGGTAATTGGGCCTCCGGTAACCTCACTTACACAGCGAAACACTCCTTTAGGTAACCGAGGGCTGGGCTCGCTGTCATTGCAGCGGAAAGTCCCCTCTTTAAAAGTGGCTTTAGAGAGGCCATCAATGCAAGGACCGCCCGGAGAACACGGTGGAGCATACCGTGGCGGTGTACCTTGCATGGGCTGAGCACCGCCGTGTTCTCAGGGATGTAGGAAATGGTGACCTCTCGCGTTCGGCTCTGGTTCAGGCCATGGAGCGAGGGGGATTGGGATGCAGTCGCATCCTTCTGCGAAGCAGTTATGCTT